AAACCCAAATCAATTAAGAGATAGCCACTTCTAATCGCATTAAGCATAATAACTCATAGACTATATGGAAATCACAATCTTGGATAAATTAGAATAAAAATATATTCATTGTCATGGTTAGGCTTTCCACATCCCTAACTATAAAGAAATCAATTCATGATAAATGAAATATTCATTGTCATGGTTAGGCTTTCCACAGTCATGGTTAGGGCTTTCAACAGCCCTAACTGCCGGTTCGTTATCTTTCCGTTGCATCTTGAATCATCTCAATCGGAGTCCGGATGTGAGAGTTATGCCCAGATTACTAAACGGTGCCAAAACTGTGCAAAATCATCCGATTAGCCTTGTTTCCCTCCTATCGCCTTCTTGCTTGCCCTGAATCAAAATACAAGAGTAATGAGTCCAATTAAGTGTTAATTAAGTGTAAAAGAATGAATATTTAGAGATAAAAATATAGTAATTTTTATTCACTTCATTTATTTAAAGAATGAGAATAATAGAACCTTGTTTCTGGGTTATATTTGCTTTATTATTAAGTGCAATAGTATTAAAAAGGAGTGGATTTAAAAATTTCATGGATCTTTTATATGCGATGACGCTCCATGTTTGCAGCGGCAGACTTTCACAAGGTTGCAGAAATCTGAGARGTGGGGGCGGTTCGATGTTTGGAGAGAGGACTTTGAGCTCGAGAGGGAGAAGTGGGGAAGGGGTGAAACTAAATAAGTGAGAGATTTGAGAGGTGGGATTTTAGGTATTTCAAATTTTTTAGGGTGTAGACGTCTGTTAATGGTCTTGACTCCGTTAAGTCTAATAGTTGTAAGCAAGAATGTTGTGGCACAAATTCATTTGCAGTTGTAGAATTTTTTTCTCCAAACATGCATGAATGCAGAGGTGAGATCAAATTCAAGTGTGGCAAGGATTACTTGTCTCCAGCTTTTTACTAGGATTTGGTTTTGTTTTCTTCGTTAGACGAACTAAAACATAAATTTTCTTCACATTGTTCTATAGATAAATCGTCTCATAGTTCCTTAGCATATACTTGTACAAAGGTTTTTCCTTTTTTTGGTGATGAATGCCCTTTTTTAATTAACTTAATGGAGATTTTTTTTCTTTTCCGACGATTTCACAGGTGAGATAGCAGAAGTATTTTTCAACGATAAGCAATGGAGTTATGTTTGGGTTAGTTACGTTTTAAAAGAAAATGGCAAAAAATATAAAAATAAAACAGAAAAAAAATAGAGCAAGTTTAAGGGGTATTTTAGTAATTTAATGCCTTCCGTTATTTAATTTAACGGCTGAAGGGTATTTGTCCGTTGGCCCAACGTAAAATTTCAGGGGGTATTTGTCGCGAAAAAAATTGCAGGGGTCTTTGTCACTGACCATGGGGATCTTTGTAATTTACCCCTTTATTTATCAAAAGAAAAGAAAATTGATTTGAGCTTCAATTCTAAATTCCAATTATATTTCCGCGAGAGAAAACCAGAAAGCAGGAGAGAAATGGCCGCCATCACCAGCGCAGTGATTGCTATAGCTGCAGTGATTCTTGGCTGGATTACAATTGAGATCGCCTGCAAGCCCTGCCTTGAGAAGGGAAGGGAAGCCATAGATCGCTCCCTAAATCCCGATTATGATCCCGACGAAGACAACCCAAGTCAATCCATTCGTGCTCCTCTCAACCCCAATACAAATGTGGATCCAGTCATAAATGCAAAAGATGGTGCCGTTGCTGCGACGTCCACCACCACTATCAAGATCGTCTGAGCATATCCTAGTTCTCTCCTTTGATCTGGTGTGTTATACGCAAAACGCCTTATTCCGTACTACGTTTGTCCTGAGTTTATGTTTCCTGTCAAATGGATTTTAGATATGGTGTTGCTTTAGCTTGTTAAATGAAATCCTACAGAAATCGTGCATGATCAGACCAGCAATTTCTCTATTGCCTTCTGCTGCAATTTCAATCTTCACACAATTATAAATAACTTATGTTATTCATTAGATAGCATTGCAGTTTTTCCTTAGGTAGCAGATGGAACATTACGCTTTCATCCCAAAACAATGCCATTTGTGCAGAAATCTTTAACTCTGTTATGTTAGAGCCCATAATTCTTTGGTATTAACATCAAGAGGCCTAACCAAGATCAAATTATTAAATTGTATTAACTAAACTTACTTGGTTTTGGGTTCTGCTATTGAAATTTCAAAATGAAGTTCGGCTTCGGTCAGTGCAAGCCGAGCTCTTCAAAATGGGAATATTTATCAAAGAAAAATCAAAATGGGAATTGTTGCAGCATATTTCATTTAGCTACTCCATCCTCTCCTGAATCTTTGCACCTTGGTTGCCAGCATCAAGGTCAATATGGTCTTGTGCTTCTTCATCAGTACCTTGTCATCTCCATCTGCATGGAGAAAAAAAGGTAACAATGTAGAGGTAATCTCTAAAAAGCAGAACATGCCCATCCAGAAAGTGGGAGACATACCCTTACAGAAAGTGGATCCATTTGGTGTATTATGGAGGAGGTCCTTTAGTCAAAATAGATATAATTGAATTGTTTTCTTTCTAACAGGTATTTTGGTGCTGATCGTTGTTTCTTGTAAACAGAATGCTCAGTAGATTTCATAATATTGAAGACTAACCTTTGTCTCATAACAAGGTGCAAAATGTTCTTGTTAGATTTCAGAACTCTTTGGTCTGATCCAAATTAGAGGTCATTAATAGGTGAAACTTACTCGTTAAGGAAAGTAATGCACCACTAGACTAGACACTTGGCAAATTTTAATCTTACCAATTGGATTATAATGTCATTTTACATTTGAAAGTGGGTCTCTAGGAAGTGAAAAACTGTTGAATAATTCAATTCAGCATCATTCTTCAATATGTTAGAAAAGAATCAACAAACTTTGTGCCATACCAGTCTGCCATGGCATGTGATCACCTGTATCATTCTTCAAAATGTCAACATTTTCCCACCTTATATTTATTATGTCAAGGAGTTGAAAATGATGCATTCACAATTTTTTTTTTCTTTTTTGTTTCTTTGTGGGGCTTCACAAAGAGGGATAGCCCATCCCCCATCCCCTTAAACCCCCGAACTCTAGTGGCAGCGGGATTTGATCCCAGGTTTCTGCWACGAGTCAGAGATCCTACCAATTGAGCCACTATCAGTTGATGATGCATTCACAAATATAATAAATGATAATTTTTTAAAAGGATAAATAGGAAAGGGAGAGATGCATTATTGTYTTTTTGGCGTACTGACCTTGTTATGAGTTTGCACATTTTGATGCAACTACATGTCTTATTTTGACAATTTGATGAGAATTCCCTTTACAGACTCAAGTTCAACATTAGCACTGGATTTTTGCAAAAACAACTTCCTTAACCCATACAGAAGAGGTGGAGCAGACCATCTTGTTAAGAACAGCAAAATTCTCCACATACTGCAAATGCAACCATCTTTTGTAAGAAGTTTCTATCAGAAAAGATAAACTAACTGGCAGAACAAGGAGAGGTGAAGATGAAGCTTGTATACAAAACCCTATACCATGCAAGAAATGTTGCAGAGTTTAGTAATGTGAAAAGCATCTTTTGTGCTTTTAGTTCTACATTAAAGGCACCTAAAAGAGAAGACAAAATCTAACTTATAATTTATATACCAAATTAGGAATTGCTTACAATGTTCAACCCTGCTCCAATGAAAGTTTGAATTAAAAGAAACTCATTGTTAGACAGTTTTGTATGCCCTTAGCTTCAATCAGAATGATGTACTTTATGAGTTTATTGTAAATGAATAAAGATACATATTTGATTCATGTTC